TTTTTACAGTAAAACACTTTGAGGAATGATGCTACTTCGGAGATGGGAGCTAAATCTTTGAAACTCCTTGAGCCTCCAAACGTGCCCCCTAAATCCAATGTCTAAAAATAAACTATCTTTACATTTTGTCCAATGTCATATTCCATCACCCTATTAAAACACTCGACAAAGAAAAGGAGACATAATTCTATGTTGATTAATTGTAAATGTACATGTACATGTAACGGTCTACTTTTGACGTCTTTCGACGGAATGTCAATCGGATCTACAACCACGTGGTTTATTGATTTTTTGTATTCACAATGTTACCTGAGTCTACAAATCATGTGGTTAATTGGAATATTAAACAGGTCACAATCAGGTCAATGACATGTAAACACCCATAAACAGTGAAGAAAACTGTCGGAGTTTTGTACCTTTTATCAAAAAGTTTACCCCGACGCAGGCTTGCCCAAAATTTTCCCTTAGATAGGCTGAATTTCCAACAGTTCACACATTCTGTCCTTTTGAGAAATTAAGGCAAGCATGCGCTCACTATGTACTTAAGCTCTATAAATCGGAATAACTTTGAATAACAATGGAGATTTGTGATTTGCATTGACCTCTCTTACAAAACACAGCCTCGCCCTTTAATTTTATTCACTTTAAATTTCTGTAATTTTGCAAAGTAGCGATTAAGACCTAGAAGAATTGTTTTATTAACTTCATTAGGCTAATTTCTATATTTTATTTTTGCGCAATTTACCGAGGGCCACTTTTTGTACATAAAGTGCAATCATTCTTTGGCACAAAGCATCTACTGGTGAAGGGGAACAAGAATTATGAATTTCATGATCCCTGCCCCCCTTGGGCCTGAGGGATGGGGCCCAAACAACTAGAATTAATGCTATTTTTAAAAATCTTCTTCTTTACTCTTGGTCATCAAGCAGTCAAACTGTTTGCATGAATGTAATTAGCAGAGATTCCTCTACCAAAATGGTGAAATTCATGGCTTTGGAGTCAGGGGTTCTAGTGCTAGGGTGGGGCTAAATAAGTATATCGTGAAAATGCATTATATCTTTGAAAATCTTCTCCTCTGCTCCCGGGTATTAAATAAAGTAACTAAGTGCATAGTTATACCCCTGCAAACAAAGTTTGGGGGTACATAGTTCAAGGTCGCCGAAAGAAATCAAAGTACTCAGAAGTACAGAGAGCCGGGCTCATTTACAGAGTAGAATGGATTTCTTACATGAATCACGTTTATATTCTGATGAAAAAATTATTTTAAAACTATCAATATAAATGATAAGAAACTGACAGTGAGTTTTTCAATCCTAATACCACGGTCCGATTTTGTCAGAATCAGAATTAAACTGGTACCGCAGCTGAATGTAAACAAACAAACAGGCCAGTCTGGTTCCCTCTACTGCTTTACCTCGTATGTGTAGAGAACTACGGTAACACTGATTATCAAAAATCCTTACGCTAATGAACTATGTTCTTTAACTTATGAAGTTTTCAAAGTCATTACTACTAACGTTTATTTTATATAGCGTTTTATTTTTTTGCTTTATTTAGCGTTTGTATTATCTCAAAAGCGGTTGAGAGTAAGAACTATATTTTTGCACGTAACTTTAAAATGGCGACTATGGGGTCAACATCCTGCCTTGAACAGGAACCCATAAGCCGGCAATTGCTCTTTTAGCAATAAGCCCGGCTAAAAATCCTAATTCGTGTCCGGTCCATATCTTTCTTATAGATAAACTTGGAAGGTTCTCATTTTACACAAAGATTGTTCATGACATAAGGGTGTGTCTTGACCTTAAACCAAGGTTATTTGGAGAAGTTCAAGGTCACTGGAAGAAAAATTTCATAATTCGAGTCCAGTCCATATCCTTCTGATAGATAAACTTGGTATGTCAATATCTTTCTTTGCAAATTTTTTTCAACGTGCGTAATTTTTTTCAATGTGCATAGAAAAGAACCAACCTTTTCGTTTAATTAAATGTTGAGCTAAATGTGTATATCAGGCGCGGATCTAGAATTTTTTTAAGGGGGGGGGGGGGTCGAAGGATTTATCAAAGGGTAGTTGAAGGGGAAAACAGTTGTTATAACGTAATTTTTACACATACATGTTGTTAAATAACTCAATAGGTACCTGTTGGAGTACGGTTTTTAAAAGTGGGAGGTTAATTGATTTACCTGGAAAAAGTACTTGAATGAATAACTTGATTGTTTTTGAAAAAGAAAGGAAAATATAACTTCGAACCCGAAAATCTTACTATGTAAAGGGGTGTGGTTTTATTTTGTACTCGCAACCGAATTTCCTTATACATTACATCATTAGTCTTTCACGGAACATTTTCTATCGTAAAATCACACCCATCTATAGTAAGAGCACAAAAAATTGGGACTTTCTTCTTTCTTTCTTTCTTTCTTTTTTTGCAAAGCCAAAGGTGGGGGGTTGCAACCTCCGCACCCCCTCTGGATCCGCCACTGTATATATCGTATTAGAGCTTCCGTACATTGTCCTAGTGTAACAGTAAGCCGTCAAATGATGTGAAAGTTAGCGCTTTTCGTAAAAGTCTACTAGTAGCAAGATATTTTATAGTGTCAATATATCAGCATTTCCCAAGAGATTCTTTACTGTCAGAAGAACCTAGTCATTTTGAAATCAAGCATAAATTGTATGTTTTTATTTGTCATGCAGTTATCTAACCCCCCCCCCCCCCGCCCCTCACGACACTTCTTATTTTCAACCTGATTTAATTTTAAAAATTCATTTTAAAAATGTTTTTTAGCATTTTTTTCTTTGTAAAAAGAAGAAGAGAATTATTGCATTTTATAATAAAAATGTACCTCTGTAAAATGTATTTCTATATCGAAGACGAACAAAAATGCACACGCAAAAAATTATTATATTACTCGTATATCTTGTTCATAAAAACTGTTAAACAGAGAAATATATCTTGAATATGGTTGTTTTTCCATTCAATGAGAATTTCAAATACCAATAAATCTTTTTAAATTATGAAATGTTAATACCATAAAGGCAACGAGAATAATTAGTTGAAAGGCCTTACATGCGTATCTTTATTTAGAAAAAATCTTGCTTTTAAATATTCTTTTCTGTTTTCCACTTATTCCCCATATCATCATAGTCAACAAAGATTTACCTACTGCTTTTTTTTTTTAAAAAATCAAATGTATAACATAAGAGGATTTTTTATGAATTATATTATTCATTAAAAGTGTAATTATGTGTTGCAGTTCAAAATGACATGATTAACGTTATATAAAGGCAGAAAGAAATAGATTTAGCTTTAATATACGTTTAATTAGTGATTATCTCAACTAATCTATCCATTTAACTATACGAGTATTTATTATTAATTTTTTTTAGATCAGTTCTCCACACTGACTGATGACGAGGTGTCCGTGTTATTCTGTTTTCTGTGTTCTGACCCCGGTCCTCCTGACTTCTCTGACACAGAGTGGCTGGACAGGCTTAATCAGATACGACAGGAAGGGTACCGTTATAGGAATCCTGTAACACGTGAGGAAGCACAGCAGACTCTGGACAGCCTGAAGTCACGTGATTATCTTTGGGAAGATCAGGACAAGATAACGGAGGACACAAGAGATGAGACAATGTATAGGATAGCATCAATAAACCGTGTTATATCATTCTGTTACAGTAGTTATAACACAGCCAGTGTGTACCTGAGATCAGACAGATACAACAGAGAACCTGGAGAGAAGTGTGTCTGTGGTCGTGGCTGGGATGACTTACTGATACGCCGTCTACAGATGAACATACTGACTCACGTCACTATGGAGGACACGAATATATATGAGCTGTTAGTCCTGTTTTGTAAGTTTATATAATGTTATAATTTTATTATTTTTATGGTTAAGATTCATTGTGTGTTTCTTTTAGTTTTAAATTGGTGTTAAAATAAGAGCATCTATTTAGAATATAGAATAGATGCATTTATTTTATGAGAAAAGAAGTCGGGTTTTATGTATTATAAGACTTACATATACATGTATTTAAAAATAGCTTGTTCATCATCATGTTCTATACCATCGTAAATTTACCTTGATCAATAAGAAGGTGGTGTTTGGTATGGTTATTTAATATCTTAATTATTGGTGTGGTTGATATTTCATGCAGGCACAAACAATTAATAAAAAAAAAGCCCAAATATTTTTTCAACAAATATTTTCTTGTAATCTCTCTCTCTCTCTCTCTCTCTCTCTTGAGGGGGCATAAAAAGAACTATTAATGTACAAAATAGATGAGGATTGTAAAAGGTTGGTGTGATTGTCTCAGTTTTAATGATTTTATAAAGTGAGTTTTCCCATGGTTGTATGTGTTTATCAATTTATGATGATTTTTGTTAAACATAATCCAAAAAATAATTATATTTCTTTATTACGTATTAATCTTTAACATTTTTGTTCTTTAATACAAAATTTAAATAACGCCAAATGTAAAAAATAAAAAGTACGTTTTCTTGTTACTTTTAGCCTTGACCAAGACGAAAAATGTAATAAAGCTAAATGTAATAATCCAAAAAATGGTGTTATTAGATTTTGTGTTTTAAGCTTTGACTGATGTCGACGCAAAATGTAATAATCCATATCTAATAATTCCAGTTTACCAAAAGAACCAGTGCACTTATAGGCCCCGGTAAAATGTGAAAAAATAAACAATCAAATTAAGTAAAATGTTTCATCTCAAGTCATTAATTGATATCTAAACCATATGATTCAACAAGTTTTACCGCTGAAATTCACGAATATACAAACAACAAAACCATACAATGTGGTAGGGGTCAGCCAACATTTGTGCTTTTCTATAGTAAATCGAGAACGGTCATTCATTTCAAAGTCTTTGTTTAATATGAGCCTAACGTTATGCAAACTTTTGCGAATGACGAATAAATTTATAAAACTTGTGTGAGAGTAGGAAATTTGCACACGATTAGGCTGGTACTTAAAATATTAAAAATGTTTAATTTTTTTTTAAAATAGTGTTTTTCTCAATAGCTAGTATATAAATATTGCATGAAGTTGAGGATAAGATTGAAAATTTTCACCCCAAGAAAACCATTGTCAACTGAAGCGCAGCCGAGTTATACTATACTGAATTTTTTTATACAAATACATATAACAGTGAACCGTTCGCCCATAAATTCTACGCAGTCACTATTTTTTGGACTATCACCCGTCGTCAAGCAATGTTGACTGTTGCTACGCTAGAAAGGCGTGGCTTCAATATTCAGCGGGCAATAGTATTTTTAACAAATGTTTCTTGACCAATCAAATTCATCTAATTTATATGAAAGTATATTATTTAGAGATATATACCTGTGTGACCAATGTTGGGCCCACGTGTGGAATAAATTAATTAAAATACTGATAATCTCTTGAGATCTATCCAGGTAAACATTCCTCAAAGGTGCTCACTGTGAAACATAGGTACATGTAGGTTTTGTATCATTAAGTCAAAAGTCGTGCCATTTTGAGATATTTGTATGTATTTGTTTTTTAGAACAAAGGAGGGTAAAGAGAGTTTAGTGTCGTTCATAAAACTGTCAGCTATTTTTAACATTCCAGCAAGGCAATGAAACAAGTATTGAAAGCCACCTTAACACTCTTTTTTAATTTCAAATTCAATGACACTATTATTGTAATATTTCAAATGCAAGAGTACCAATTTCTTAGATTGATCATTATGGTTACAGGCAACTTCACAATTTCATTTATTTTTTTATATACAGATTTAGAAAACGCGCCCGACTATGATTCATCATCAGATTGTTCAGGTGTCGATTAAATATCTCTTCCTCTTGATCTACATAAACGAAACTCAAAGAAGGTTCGGTACGAACTTTCCGGATTTAGGGCATCCATGGGTTTCTAAAATATTCCATTGTTTCAAATCCATGCTGATTTATATGATGCTTAACGTGCTTTTTAGAAATATTCACCAGTATCTAAATTTTACCAATAAAGAACGATTTGGCTGTATATTCGAAAGTAAAATGGCACATAAAAAGGACCCATTAATTGTATTGTTCTAAGGATCATTGTAAATTTGTAGAACATGCTGTTTCAAAGAATTTATTTGTTTTCCTGCTTAAATAGATATATAGAAAAATTCTAAATTTTCTTTTCCTTTTCTTCTCTTTTTTTATTTGGCGTTTCTTGGCATTTCCCTTATTTTGTTTATCATGACGAATAATAGATCTTAAAAAAAATTACAAAACAGAAGGGAAAACAACGACATGCATGAATAAAGTTAATGAGCTGGAATATATATATATTTCCTTTCAATAAAATGTGTATTTGATATTCTCGATTTTCTTATATTACAGTAAACATACCGTACAACGAAATAAGGGGAACTCGAAATGAACGGACGCAGTTATTGATAACCTTAAAAGAACAAGGGGAGGCTGTTTATTACAGAGGAAGATCACAGGACAGTGTAGATCACGTGACGTGGCTCTGGAGATACGGGGGATACAGTAGACCTGACATCGTGAGATCCTGTATAGGTCTACATTTGGACATTTACATCATCGACAACAAAGCTTACAGAAAACCAAGTAAGTATGGACTACAAAATCAGGAACACCTCGGACCGATTAAAATAGAGAGAGTATTAACGGCAAACGGTTATATTTGAGGATGGCAATCAGAGGATTATTGGTATATGTAATCGATTAGTCGCATTTTTTCCATGGATCAACCAATTAACGGAATGGATCAGCTTGATTTGAAGTTTTCAATAATGTTAAAAAAACTTTTCTCAAAAAGTAATTTCAAAATTGGTATTATAAACTACAATAATCAGAATACTTTACATTTAATTTTCAAAAAGACAATTAAATTACCATGCAGTGCCATTACTCTTACCATGCAGTGCCATTACTCTTTTTTCTTAAAGTAATGCATTACATTACCATTAGGTCTACTTGAGTAAAGTTATCCATTACCATTACACGTTTGGAGGTTTTTCAAAATCGAAATACAAAACTTAACTTTTTTTTCATAAGCGTATCCACTTCCTTAAAAAATTAAACATGATAAATGATAATTCAAATTCGATTCAGATATTTTTACTTTTTTCATTAAATTTTGATCATTTGCAACAAAGAAAAAAAAAATATAAATGAGATACATATTCAATAAGAAAAATAACCTAAATAATATTAATATATATCTCATATAAATAATCACAAGTAAAAAGTAGGGATGTCAAAATTGTCAATAATTGATATTCGAATATTCGATAGGAGTATTCGAATATATTCGAATATTCGATAAAATAAATTCATTTTCCATTATTAAATATAAACCTTCACTCTCCTGCCAAGCAGTACAGGTTTTATGCCATTATTTTAGAATAAAATCTTGTGTAGAGTTCGGAAAATGAACTACTATTATTTATGTTTTTAAAAAATTACTTAATAGTATACACCCAAAATGTAATGATTGATTTTTGAAAATTCAAAAGATTCTTTAATATGTTCCAGATTAATTGATCGTCTTTCTAAGTCTACACTAATAACTCCTACAAATATACTAAGCAGAACAATTATCTAACGGTGAAATGTTAAAAGCAATTACTTTTTGCTAATTATAAATTCCTGATAATGATTTTTAATGATATTTACATAAACAAGAAGTCTGTGTGTTTACTGTAAAACTGGGTACTTACAACAATACAAGCTGATTGTTAGTTCTGGAAACTATTATACCACTAATTAAGTGAACAAATAAATAAATTACTCTTAGGCTAATAAATACACTCTTCACACCTTTAAGGTATTCCAAGAGGAGTGTTTTTTTTTGTACAAACTTGATTCAATTTCTAATATAACTTTCCAGGTTTTTCTCTCTTTTTAATGCTTGTATACTGAAAAACGAATATTCGAATCTCAAATTTATATTCGAATATCAGCTCATCGAATGAATATTCGAATATTCAAATATTCGTTGACATCCCTAGTAAAAAGGAATCTGATTGACCGAGGCAGTCACGTGTCCGTCGTGTTCTGCATGCAACAAAACGTCTTTTTCACGACTCTGATGTCAAAATGCAATGACTGATATCGTTATACTATTGAGTCAGATTGTTTATATTGTTGATTGATTGTGTCAATTTTAACATGTAAAAAAATATAAATATTTACAATAACGTTTCTCATGGGTACGGTTCGTATGTTGCCTTGTGTAAATCACATGGAAGATTTTTTTTTTCTGAAGTGCGGCTAATGGTATAACTTATAGAGCTGTTTCATATTGTAATGTTCATTGCATTTTCTTCATATTTCCTGCATTGTGTTTGATTTGGTATATTAAACAATTTATTGCATGATAATGAGGGAGACTAGAAGATTTCTCTCACTATCCTGCAATAAATTTATAATGTCCATGACCATTTAATTATTTTTAAAAAGATGTATACAAAATAATGCTTTGTAATGTTACAAATTTATAATGCCATCATCACAATTGATATTATTAAGTAATGCATTACATTACCATTTGATGTAATGCAAATTTTTGGGCAGTACATATTACTAGCATTACTTTGACTTCATGTAATGCATTGCAATGCATTACCATTATAATTAGCATTACCCTGCCTGCAAAACGTTTTGTCTATCGGAAGCGATTGAACACATCTAAAAAGTAAGGGATATAAGATGCATCAGACACATCTTATCCTATTGGAAATGTTCATTATAAGAATGCCTTGCCTCAGTTTTTGTTGCAGTATTGTCAATAAAGGGAAATAAATTGGTAATGCAGTCTTTAAGTGAAAATTGGGTACTGAAAGAAGTAAGTAAATACTTACACATACACAGACACCCTACCTCTCTCTCTCACGCACACACTCTCTCTCTCACATACACCCTCCCTCACATACACCCTCATAAACCCTCACACTTACACTCACACACTAAATAGAACAGATTTTCGAGTTTGAACAATTTTTCATTTTTTTTGTCCAGGTTTTATCGAGTATTAGTGAAAAAAATTTCTGGGGTTGCCCCCCTCCCACCTCCCATCAAAAAGAATGCTACGTCACTAAGATTACTTCTATATTCCGTGAGTTGTGATACCTTTAAAGTGAAAATCAACGAAGAGAAGTTTGATTATTCTTCATTTTAAATATCCTGTGCACCTTTTAGAAGTATAATAACTTACATGTATTAGATTTGATGACAGAAATCAAGCCTCGAAAGGAAAAAAAAAACATGGACATTTGATTTTCAAGGATAAACGGATAGTATGTTAGAGAGGCGTGCATCTCACCTGCCATTTGTAAAAGAAAAAGACATTTCTCATCCATCTCATTTAATTGAAACCATTATTTATTCCTGCAATGTGGGGTTAAATAGTCTGATATGTGAAGTACGTAACAGATTGTTTAAGAGTAAGTGGTTTATCATCCAAATTCAAAGTCTGAAACCAATTTGCATCGATGAACTTATGGATGAAATTTAAGATATGTCTTTATCTTTATTGACAAGGGCTGGGTTTCACAAAACTATCGTAAAATTTGTCCTAAGATAGATCTTACGATCATCTTAAGATCTGACTTATGACAATCATAAGATTTGCCACTGCTGTTTCACGAAACTATCTTAAGTACAAGAAATCTTAAGACAAATCTTAAGACAAATTCCATTCTTCAATTTCACAGGGATTTTTTGTTGAAAATATGTTTGCACGAAGTTTAGTTGAATTACTTTAATTTTGCAGATATACCCTCGGAAAAAAACATTATATTGCATCAACTTGAATGTACCGGTAATTAGGGTGTGTTTTTGTGTGTTGGGGGTTGGGTCATAAAATTAAATTTGAATTAATTTCATCACAAAACAAAATTGAATAAAATTTGTTTAAATGTCTCCTAGCTCAGAAAAAAAGTAGTTACTGACGAAATTTATGAGATAATTTTTTTTAACTAAAGCTTCTAGAGTATCTGAACCTTTATAATTAATGAATGATGATAGCATTGAATCCTTTTGAAACACCAAATCGTGTTTAAAGTTTGTCAAAAAATTCGATTGAGGTGTCTTTAAAACGATTCAACTACAGCAATAAAATAATAAGGCTAACAAATGAAGAAAAGAAGTAAAAAAACAAAAACAATTTCCAATCAAAATCTTATAATTTCAATACTATTAAGAAAGAATGAAGAGAGCATACATATACAGCATCAGAATTAATGTTACAGCATGATTTTCATACACATTACACATTCCGGTAGATTAATGTGGGATACCCCAAGAATAAAATTATTTGATTTTCATCTAATTTTGTACGACTGAATGAAATGTTTATTTCTAATTTCTAAAAAAAAAATCACAAGAATGTAACAAAATAATGTAAAGCGTCTAAATTATGCAGTGTAGCTACATATAAGTTTGTTTTTTTTTTTACTTTCATGGACTTATCTAATCCATAAAAATGCAAACACTTCGCATTTCTGTTTATTAAAAGATATTATTGTAACCTATCAATAAATAAACTACATGTATCTCAAACACAGGATCTGGAATTACGTTAGCCATTTCAAAAATTGCTTGGTCATAGTTATTGTGATATTCTTGCAGGGTAGTATTCAAATGAAATAATTTTGAATAAAGTCATATATGATAAATTGATTTTACATACTTGTACATACATGGCCTTAAGAAGCATAAGAGGGTGGGGTGCAAATGCAGTTGGGAGGAGACACAAGCAAAAAAAAAATGCTTTGAAATGAATAAAGTGGAAAACATAAAGTAGGTACATTTTAGGTTTTCTATTGTCTATTTATTGGCAAATTATTTTTTGATTTTTTGACCGGGGGGGGGGGGGTCATCGTTCCGTCTGGCCTAATATAGTCCAAAGGATTGTTCAATCACTAAAACCGTTTATCTTTAAATATCCTTTGGTTTTTAGTCAAAATATATATTGTCGCCAGTTTCACTTTAGACTTAAGACAAGTATCTAGTTGTCTTAAGACTTTGATAGATCTTAAGATTATCATAAGATATGACAGTTTCGTGAAACGGCTATGGTGCAATCTTCATGATCTTACGATAATTTTTGATTTTAAGACAGATCTCAGTCATAAGACAGCTTTGTGAAACGGGCCCCAGACTCATTTAACACATAATGAGAAAGGTCTGATCTTTTTAAAATGGAAAATTCACAAAGAAATAAATAAAAGGGTTTATCTGATCATACAAGATGTGTTTATAACAAAGGTAAAATTACAACAAATGAAAGACAAAATTTACATACATGAGTTGTTGTCGTCCACGAGTGAGTTGTCATTCTTTAACTAGTATAGTAGCACTGCACGATTTGTGTTACTTACCAAGTTGTATTAAAAGTTATAATTAATTCTACTTTTTCAATGCAAATTTAAGAATGCCCAAATTTATGGTCCCTATCCACATATTAAATTATTTAAAGATTTATTGACCGGTAAAGTCAAAAAGGCATACTAGTACAGATTGTCCCGGAATACATGATACCATTATTGAATCATGAAAAGTTTTACCTTAAGTTATATATATTAATGTTTGCAGTACTTTGGTTCAATTCAGACCCATACAAGTTAAATTAATGAAAGGCATCAAATTGGTTGCAAACAAAATTAAGCATTAGAAAAAATCTTTTACAACTTTTAAAAAGCGTCCATGCAAGAAAAGCACGTTAAGATATTAAAAGGTGAAATAGTTGAATCAATAATTTTAAAGAATTAGAATAAACATTTACTGCATTTGCTCATTAATAGATTCATTGATGTAAAAAAAAATACCCATGATCATTAATGAATGATAAGAATTAATTGTCATCAAAATGAAGATGTAGGACTGTCAAAATGAACCACTTGCTGATACCCTCCATCTTGGTCAGGTAATAATGCCAATGGGAGAATAGGCTATGCTGCAAGCCGCGGTTCAGAATGTAAAAAATATATCTTTGTGTCATTTGACGCTGTAGAAGACATCCAAAACAATTTTTACACTTGAAAAACGTTTCTTTTTTTTTACCATACACTATTACCACGTCATTATTATCTGGAGGGTCGTGCAGTTTTTCTTTCATATCTTACATACTTCCAGGCTGGGGAGAAATCCGAGAATCTATTTAAACTCTTTTTATATAGACAAAAATATCAGTTATCATTTCTGTACGTATAAAATAATTTTTATGAAGGCAATACCAGAAAGACTCTGTTTTATTAAAATTGTGTTTTTCGTCTTAAAATCAAAAACATATATAATAGAACTGTCTAAGAAAAGTAAACTTTGATAAATCTCTGAATACACAGGTCTGTGATTGGAAATACATGTAATCCTTTAACTCTTTGATTTCATTCATTTTAGGCAAGTATCAGGAATATCCAGAAGTCGACAAAAGTATTCTCTACAGTTTACTGTTGTGTGACAAGTACACTGCTACTGTAAATGGAAAGTTGTTCAAGTCAATATTGATAAAAATACGAGAACGGTATAACCAAAGGATTTCTCCGTCTGATGATGTTGATGTGACATCCCTTCAAGATGATGTTATGGAAACCCAGAATGGTGAGGTTACGTTTGTATCAGACGACATCCGACATGACGTCATGTACACCTTAGTTACGGAGTGTCTGGTGGAGGACAGTGATCTGGAGTTTTTCCTGACCACGGCGTCACGTGACGTGATATCAGAATACTGCCGGTCCTGGGATTATAAGAGGAGTGAGGGAGAGAGATGTCTGTATGTACCGTACAGACCGAAGACGATGTACGAGCTCTTTATAAACAAACTACAGCTGGACATCATCACACACTGTACCGTGTCTGACAGTAGGATTCATTCCAGTATCAGTAAACGTTGTGAGTATTATTTCTGTATTAAACCTTATAGATAATAATTCACAAGGTTAGCTTAAAAAAAAAAGCTTAGTTTCAGCCACTGGATAACAGAAAGTTTCCTTATTGTTTCGTTATCGTAAATAATTTGTATTATCCATCATGTCTGTTCCTTAAAGAGCTATTAATAATTGTAATATATTATAAGTTTTAAAAATTCTACTATAATCGTTTTCTTGTTTGTAATATAATGCTGTAAATTATAAACCATAGACAAAATTTTATTTCTACGTCTCCCGCCCCATTTTATTTTATTAGTATTTATTGTATTACATATAGCTATTTTAGCACAGGGGCACGAGAAGGGTCGTTACGTATAAAACATGCAGGTTCTCGGCGGACTTATGATATTCTTACTACAACTTTTAAAATTGCTTCATAAACTTTTAGGCTGACACCATGCATTGTGTAAAATGTTGACATTTATATCGAAAGTGAATATATACAGTCATGTATGTGACTTTATGTTTGCATATAATTTTCGTCGTTTACAACCGGTTTTGTGGTCTAGAGGTTAACTTCTAGCTTCACATGTGAGAGGTTCGAATCCCAGATAATCCACTTTCCTTCTTTCTGAAATTTTTTTTTAATTTAGTAAAGGATAGTTAATTAAAAGTTTTGAGGTCTGGCTTTTGCAAACTCATAAAATCATCATTACAGTGTGATAAGTATTTCATATAAAAGAATCTTCTATACACATAATAAAGAATAAGCAATCAAATCTTTATATCCATATTGCCATATTTTATTTGCTTCAGTTAACATTTAATGATTCTACAAATTCAGTCAGCTAGGGGATCCGACCCCCCCCCCCCTCCCCCGGAACAGTGCATGGTTTACTTTTTCCCTAAGCGGGGAAAACGAATTCTCTGAATGACCTTGTTTTAGCTGAATCAAGGTCATTATTCTGACCTCCAATCTCGGCCGCGGACATCAGAGGAAGGTTGTCTCATACAGGTAAATGTCAAATGAATAAAGCAATAATGTAGAAGATTGTTTTTAATTATTATTAAATTAAAAGTTTTTAGTTGTGCGGTTTCGAGGCAATGTATAATGTGGAGTGTGTGTGTTGGAGGGGGGGGGGGAGAGACTCGCATATATACATGTACCTCATGTATATTTAAATCAATCTCTAAGTTTAAGCATTCATTTTTGTGTATTAGGAAAGACAAGAATTGCTTCCAAAAAGTATTGAAATCCACGAAAACAATTTAAACAAGAAGCCCAAGGGCCACATCGCTCACTTTGAATCTACACTACCTGAGGATGATTCCATATAAATACAAAAATATCATCAATCATGGCTTTGAAGTACTTGAAAGAAGATTTTAAAAGGTTTTCCTATATATCCATTCAACTTTGGTCAGCCATTTTGGGCCCAAAACTAGTTCCAGAGGTCATGATTTGAATAAGCTTGAATCTTCACTAACTGACGATGATTCCACGTAAGTTTTGTCTTTCCTGACCCAAAGGTTCTTGAGAAGAAGATTTTTAAAGAATTTTTCCTATATATTCCTATGTAAAACTTTGGTCAGCCATTTTGGCCCCACCCTAGCCCCAGGGGTCAAGATTTGAACAAACTTGGAATCTACACTTCCTGAGGATAATTTCATTTTCATATTTCCTTTCCAAATGATTCTTAAATAGAAAATTTTTAAAAGATTTTTCCTATATATTCCTATGTCGAACTTTGGTTGGCCATTTTGGCCCCACCCTAGCCCCGGGGTAATGATTTGAACAAACTTGAATGTACACTACATGATGATGATTTTACATGAGTTTCATCTTTCCTGGGGCAGTGGTTCATACTGTTCTTAAAAAGAAGAAGATTTTAAAAGATTTAATCTATGCATTTCTATGTAACTTTGGTCGGCCATTTTGGCCCCACTCTAGCCTTGGGGGTCATGATTTGAACAAACTTGAATCTACACTATTTGAGGATGATTCCACGTGAGTTTCATCTTTCCTGGCCCAGTGGTTCTTGAGAAGAAAATGTTCAAGGAGTTTTCCTATATATTCCTATGTAAAACTTTGGTCGGCCATTTTGGCCCCACCCTAACCCCGGGGGTCATGATTTGAACAAACTTGAATTTACATTTCCTGAGGATGATTCCACATGAGTTTCATTTTTCCTGAGTCATTGGTTCTGGAGAAGAAGATTTTTTTAAAATGCTATTAATTTTTCTCTAATTTATAATTATCTCCCCTTGGAAGAATGCTTGGCCCTTCATTTCAAAAATCTTGAATCCCCTTTACCCAAGGATACTTTGTGCTAAGTTTGGTTGAAATTGGCCCAGTGGATCTTGAGAATAAGATGAAAATGTGGAAAGTTTACAACAATTACAATGACAACGCCAACAAACGACAACGACAGACGACGGACAAATTTTGATCAGAAAAGCTCACTTGAGCCTTCAACTCAGGTGAGCTAAAAAAAATATTCAAACTAATTTAATATATATGCAGTACGTATACCGTTGTCTTTCATGTCTACCATCACAAAAAAACTATTGAATAACATACTGGATGCCATATATCTCTCTCACTCCTTTCACTGGGGGAGGGGGGTGACCCTGACTATAGATCAGCGCAGTTTTCCACACAGGAAGTCTCAGATGTTGCAGTTCTGCTGTGGTCTATTTCTCACATGTGGGCGCTGACCACGTGCACAAGCTTCAAGGGGCACTTACACGTCTATCATTATGAAAATTTTAAGAATGGCTGTCTAACAGTGTTTTCTCAACTTCCTATATCAAAGTGAAAAGAAAATGATCATTATTCTTTTTTTAACTGTTTTGGAACCTTTGTGGCAAGTGGAATATTGTGTGAATTCCGACCTGAGCATGTCTGATGCAATGTATCGAATATTGATCGAGGGAACCTTGAATCAGACTTCCAAAGGAATACATTAAATCTTCGACTTGCAACAGCGATTGAGGATATATTAATACGGTAATAATGTGCTATAGATATGAACTTATCTTCTATAAGAAGCAATGAAGTATTTTCTAGGAAATGTAAAACAGTCTATGTCTGACCTATTAATATTCATTGAGAACGACGAAGGACAGTGCAATCTATAAATAGATCAAGGTCATGAGTGTGCATGAAGAAGCATGCTCTCTGTTTGGAGTGTAAATCTTTTCCCCAGAATTCCGCTTAATGCAAGCGCACTTGCAGTTTCATTCCAAGATACATGTATGATGAAATGTGAATTTAAAAAGAATCTATGATAATCTGGATTGCTTGAGGTTGAAAAGAATTTTAAAAAAAGGGTTAATTATCAATATATCAGAAATCAAGATAGTAATACTCAGTAACTTCTAAAAATTATAAGGCAGCATAATAATTATTCTTTCCCACAAAATATTTCATTTCATATTTATTCCTAGTATATATTTTAAACGGGATACACACCAGAGAGAATAGCCATAGCTCCTAAACCACTGTAAATATTACCGTTTAAGATTATTTTCTTTTTATTCTTGAGATATAAATTGAACGATTTTACATATGTTAGTTAGCTTACGACCTTCAAATCAAAGAAATTAAACTGTATCCATTTTCTGTTGATGATTGAAAAACCTATCAAAATTTAAGAAAATCATCACTATAGGCGACAAAACTATGATAAAAAAACGAATTAATGTTTTAGAGATAATGATACAATAAGTTAAAGTGTTTGGTGCAGGTCTATTCCCGAGTACAGTGGACATTCAGATACCCGGACGCCAAATATCAGGTATCCAGACGCTTCACATATCCGGACAATTTGACTGGGAACCAAAGCGTCCCAATAAATGAGGCTCCACGTTAATTAACTATAAGCCCTACATGAAATAAACTTGCATGGATGATGCATCTAGGGATGGACACTAGCAGACTTGCTTCGGATGCTGGATCTGACATATATTTTCCAGATGAATAAACAGGTTAAGGTTTTTCGAACAGGTCTATCCCCAAGTTATTACATGTATTTTAGCCATACGAGGACCAGACTGAACTATCCACAAGTTTTAGAGATTTCAAGCAGCATGTACATGTAATTCTTACAATTCATGCGCATGCTGGTTGGCCTTTTAGAATTCATTAGCAAAGACTTTTACAAATTTGTTTTCCAAATGCAACAAAACCACCGTTTTGGAGTTGAAGCTTCATATTATATTTAATTTTTACCTACATATACCCATCTGTTGAGAGTAGCTCAGTAAGCAGAGCGCTCGCTCCGTGATCGGGAGGCCGTGAGCTCGAATCTTGACCCAAAGTAATCTACGTCCATAAAAAAGGTAGCACCTGTTCCTTCGCCATGCACACGGGCACTTGAATTGAAAGTTGCGGGTCAAAGGATAATTCCTAAAAAAACGAAGGTTCATTAAAGTCACGATAGACTTTGGCACGATAATGATCCCTCATTGATTAATGGCCCTGAGTGCCGAATTAATGTCAAAATTTGAAGTCCTTCACCTGTGAACACTCAATTCTCTGACCTTATTTATGGGCGCCGCCATGTTTGTATCACATGACTTGACGCAATTAAGGTGCTGATAACGTCACAATTCCGTATTACTAAATGCAGTTACTTTTCTCCGTTATTCATCGAATGATTGGCGTAATACTAATAAAAACACACGTTTATATGAAATTAAAGCTAACCGATTCATTCTTTTATTTTGTTTATTTTTCTCTTCATTGTTCGTATAATCAAATGTTTTAAAATCAATATTGATCGATTTATTGTTATTGTTTAAGGCAAAGTTGCTTATATTTCATCCCTATTTTGGAGGTTTGATAAATATTACACCTGATTTTCTTTGAAATCAATTTTAGCAAGATTAAAAGGCAAAAGTTAAATAAGTATTAATGCAGTGAGAGAGACTCAGAGAGATTTGTAAAACCGTTTTGGAAAATAGATATTAGTATACAAATACAAACAAATGTACGACTTAAACCTTTTACCAATATTCACAAAGTTCATTAATTCGTTATACATGATATATTTAAGAAATGAATTTAATTTTTGTGAAGATTCACGAGGTTATGAATTACGATGCTTCAGGCCGGCATATTTCATGAAGTGCGTTATATTTCTTATATTGACGACAGATTTTTTTTCCGTTATTTCCCGATGATGACAACGAGCACACATTGGGTGTGACTGGTCGGCAGGGGATGCTCACTCCTCCATGGCACCTGATCCCACCTCTGATATTTCGGAGGTCCGTGTTTACTTTGCTCTTATTTTGTTTATTGTTTATTGGACTTTGAGATTGAATACTCTTCGTAATTTCCATATCCTTCATTTACATTTTTTAAGACTTACCATAAATTTACGCCATTTAACTGCCATTTTTAAAGCAAAACAGTGTGCACTACTTTTTTTTAATCAAGTGAGTTACTTTGACATAACAAGGGAGATATTCATGCTCATTCGTGGTACATATGTAATGTAGTTCATGAGAAAATGAACTGCATTTTAAATCGTAAAGAATCGCAATGGAAATTTATTTGAAATGTAAATACATGTATAAGGAAATATACAAGGGTCCTCGTGCGGTATTGGCAAACGAACAACTACAGGATATTTTAAAGAGGGTTGATTTGATGACTTATCCTTCCCTTTTATTATAAGTGAGACATACAACCTTTTTTAAATGCATCAAATGATTTTCTCGGAAGGTGGGCTGTTCATATGTATATAGTGAATGTGAATGGTAATTAAAATCAGATAGAGAACAATAAAGCGTATTTATTCATTATTTTTAGTCTAACAATATATAAATTATTTGATAAATTATTATCAATGAGGTAAAACTGGATTATCAAATAACACGACGGCCGTCTAGATTTTCTCGACTGACATAATGTTTTTTTTAAAATGTTAAACATTATTTTGTCTCAATTTATTTGTTATAGTTATTTTTTTTTATTTTGTCTTACTATATGTGTCATTGTTAATTTTTTTCTTATTAAGTAAGCCAGTACATTGTGTATAAAATTATATAAAACGTCAAATAAAAGAGTTTTCGGATAACTCAAGCGTTTAACTGTAGGTCTTATAGAATGAAATTGAAAACTTGATTTAAAAAACACACGTGTCCATGAATATTGCAATGTTTAGGCCATGGCGTCATAGTTTCAACTACAGAGATGTGCCTAAATCTGTCGGTAATAACTTGTTTTGGACGTTCAAATGTTAAATTTTGTTGCAGGAGAAACAAAATACATGATAATTGTCTTGACGTATAGGGGATAGTGGGCTCGGGTCGAAAACATACGAGGGCTCGACAAGCCTCGCTCTTTATCACGTTTTCTTACCCTCACCCAAATATCGCTTATATTTCAAGACAGTAACCATGTATTATATATATATATCACTACTGAAAGCAATGCGTATCTATGCATAAATTTAAGTAAAATGATATTACAATTTAGTTGAATTCATGTAGATGTACATAAATAAATCAATCTCAACACCATAAAAATGAAGTTATCAAGAATGTAAATGAAAGTCAAAATATTATTTTTTTTCGATGCTCTACTAATATTACCACCATTTAGATTTATTTATTGAATGATTGTTTATTGTTTTACGTCCCTCTCGAAAATTTTCATTCATATGGAGATGCCACCGTCTGCCGGTGGAGAGCTGCAAATTTTGTCCTATACTTGACACTTGGGGCCATTGAACAAGGGTTTTTTTTTTTGTGCAAGCCCTTACTGCAACACAGGGCCTCGGTTCATACGGTCTCATCCGAATAACCATCTCCATTTAGAAGGTACAGGTCTGTCAAATTTCAGTTTTTTTCCATGAAACTTAAGTAAAAAGAAATGCGTAGCTTTCTTGTTGAAAATTGTTTCTTCTTAATCATGGTATAGTGGGAGTTCCAAAAGAAATACTGTCGTGGGACCAGGAGGCCAGAGAGCGGTATGTGGAGTACGCTAAGAGAGGAACACAGACAGTCCACCACGCCCGGGGGATGATTGTAGGATGTGCTGGGGCGGGCAAAACCACGCTTCTTAAACGGCTGCTTGGTTGTAGTGAAGAAGAGATCAAGAAAATAAAATCTACTGAGGGATTGGAGGTCCATGAGGAAATATTTAACATATGCGATGAAACAAATTCATTGAAAGGTAAAAAATATAAGTGATGCTGCTTAGCCTGAGAGAGGAAAATGAGAAAAAAAATCTTACATAAAATATATGACATACCTTTTTCTTACTTTCTCCCTCAATATTTTGTAATAAAACGAAACACCCGTGATTGTCTAAAAAAAAACACTTAAACTTCTCTTTTTATTTGTGCTACATTTCATGTTTTAAAGACATTGCAAATCAATGTTAAACTGATTTTAAACAACCAGAATTACAGATATAATCTAAGTGGACAGTTTTGTCGACAGTAGAATTGATGCTTTGTGCGTAACCATGCACATAAATTACTTTCAGCATTTTAATTTTATCACTTGGTTAATTAAAAGTAAACATTAATTAAATTTGTCTTTAATGCTATGAATGAAAATACCATTTTATTGCTTCTTTCATGTATTATATTTTGAAAAAAATGATAGAATGTGATATTTTTATCTGATGATTCTTTTTAGCAAGGAAAAGCCAGGAGAATTTTGAGACAGAAAATACTACAAATGTTGACACAAAGACTCTGACATTCTTTGACTTTGGAGGACAATGTGCGTACTATGCCTGTCACCAGATTTACCTGACCAGGAGAGCTTTCTATGTTGTGGTTGTGGACGCCTCTAAACCTCTTGACCAGAAGGTGGATAAGAAAGTGTGTGATCAAGATGGAAGTGTATTCGCTGGATGGACCTATGGAGGTATAAAAACAATGATATTATACAGAAAAAATGAGAAAATATTAACTTCAAATCTGTGTCCAAGTACCTTTAAAGTATTATTAACGCACTGAATTCTTGACTTATTTTCTTGTTACATGTAGTGAAGGAATATCTGTCTAATTTGTCGATTTCATGATACGATCCATCGATTGGTAATTGTGTGGTAATTTGCATACACGCTTAAGCGTAAAATTATCACGCAAGCCAATCGATTGTTCATCGTCATGAAATCGAAGAAATGATATTTATTCCTTATATGAACATGCTCTTTATTCCGCCAATCCACGTGCTACAAGCCCCGCTTGTGTCTCTCTATTTGTCATGCCCCGGCACATGATTTTTCTAATTGTTTCTTTTGTAAGCTTTTACCTTGAATACATGTACAGAGATCATACAGAAAAAAAAATCAAATACTTCTTATTAATGCAAGAAATTTATTTGTAAGAACAAATCAAAGATGTATACTTGCATGATAATGGTCTCAATTTTGGAACACAATAAATAATAATTGTATTTTATTTAACTCTGAGTCGAGCCATGTTTCATATATTTTTGAAGGGTCAAATTTTCGTGGTTTGAGGAAATTACATTGGGTCATTGGGATTTGATTTCATGCTTGAAAAATTGTTCAGTAGCAATGAATGTGAAAAATTACATTTCGTGGTGGATATTAATTCGTGGGTCTCTTCATACCTTCATACCTTCATTAGAAAAAAATATTTTCCTGTTAAAATGTGTTATTATGATAAATTTGTAGGTAATAACTTAAACTTTTATGATCAATTAGACTAAACTGAAGCAGAAGAAAGACTTTTATATACAATGTACATGTAATATACAGTTTTATATAAGAAATCATTATGTACAAAACGACAATAATATAATTTTGATTCAATCGAAGCTTATAAATAGTTCTTCCATCGCAAATGTGAATAACAGAAGTTTATCAACCTTGTTTTCTTGTGTCATTGAAATATTCATTTACAATTTTGAAATTAAAAAAACCGACATCAAAGTTGCATCTCATATTGCTTTAAAGAAACGTTTGACAGAAAAAAGCTTAGAACTCAAAGGTCACCCCATGTTTTGAAAAAAACGAGTGAAAACATCAGCATGTAAGAATATCTTAACAATTATTTTATATAATATCAGTAATTGTAGCTATCCACGTTTGTTTGAAATTTAAACAGATAATGAAACTTGAATCTGTTGCTTAAAACCCTCGAAACAAAATTAACAATAAGATGTACTTGACGGAAACAGGAAATGTCCGAAAAAAAGTACAGAATTGCAAAAGCACAAAGACAGAGTTACATGCACGTTTCTTAAATATAAGTGATTTTTTTTTCAAATTCGTATTCAGCGAGGCAGTTTCATTTCTGGAAGAATTTAGAAAGTTTTTTTTTTTTTTTTTTTTTTTTTGCAAAAAATCAAAAGGTTAATGAGAGGAAAGATCCAGAATCAGGAATCTACTACATAAAATTTCTTCATGACAGTGTCCAAAACCGCACGCCCCGAAGAGTAAACGAGTTTTTTTTTGTGATAAACAGTTATTTTTACATTAACAATATTGGCCAGATTTTTCGCCTTTTGGCTTGTTTCAATTTCTAAACATGAAAAACACCCTTCAGAAGGAAGAAACGAGTACAGGAAATCACAAGATTTTTCATTTTCCAGTATACTAAGGATGATACTCAAAAATGAGCTAAAACTAATCAAAAATTGGATTAAAAAATTACGGACATGTGTTTCAATTAAAAGAGAATATTCATTTTTTTTCAATTTTTTTTCTTTGAAAAAGATTTAATATCATATCAAAAGTTTAGAAAAGTGGATGGTTCTTAGAAATTTTTCTCCTAAGAACTGGAAAATGAAAAAGACTGAAAATATTAGTAATATTTCAATGAAAACACAAATATAGAGAAATTACATTCAGTAAAGGTTTACAGGTGAAAACAAATTTTAGAATATGTTATCTCGGTGCTAAAAGTGTAAAATAATCTTTAGAAAAATATACCAAGCCAGGTGAATTTTAAGAGGAAGATCAAAATGACAAAAAATTAGCAATATCACATAGGCTGATTTTTACAATTTAGGTTTTCCTAATAAAATTTACCTGGCTTGGTAAATTTTTTCTTAAGTTTATTTTACACTTTTGACACCAATGTAATATATTCTAAAATTTGTTCTCACCTGTAAACCTATACTGAATGTAATTTCTCTATATTTGTTTTTTCATTGAATTACATGTAGCACTAATATTTTTCAAGTCTTTTTCATATTCCAGTTTTTAGGAGAAAAAATTCCAAGAACCATCAACTTTTCTAAACTTGTGACATGATATTAAGTCTTTTTCAAAGAAAAAAAAATGTTTGTATCATCTGTCATTAAGCTCGAAAAGAATGAGTGCACTTAAAACTATACTGAAGGAAAACCCAAAGTTGATTTTTTTTTTTAAAAAAGTATTTCTTTTCCTAATACAAACTATAAAAGGAACATTTTCTTCTCTTTATTACAGACTACTTTGTGTTCTGGATAAAGTCTATACATACCTACTGTGGTTCTGACAATGACAAAGATACAAAACCTGTAGTTCTAATTGTTGCAACACATTGGGAAGAAGGAATAAGACAGTTTAGGGTGAGTTATATTTTCACTGAACTTTTCATATACACAACATTATAATTTTTATATTCTTAAAGAACTTAAATCTTTAACACATTGCATTGTAATGTATTAGTGATCTATTATAATCTTTATTAAAGAAAATACATTGTATCAGGATACCGATTAATTCGATGTTATACATGTATGAAAATATATGTGTTTGGATTATCGGCATATAATTATAGCAAGTATTAGAAAGTCAATAATACAATAATTATGATAATTTTCCCTCTCTAATATATATAGGGAATCAATAAATGTAACACTCAAGGATCTTTTCTGTGTAGTTGGGAAATGAAGATTTATAAGGAATTAAATAAAAAAAATCACAATGCCATTTAATGTCTTTTAAACAGAACGGGAAAACAGTACAGTCAATATTTGATTATCACTTTAATTTACTTTGATATTTTTTATCAATGAAGGATAAAAAGGAACTGATTGAGAGCTTGCGTCATCAGTTTCCAGAGTCATCATATTTACCACAGTACATCACTGACGAAAACGTTTATTGCACCGACGTTACTTTACCTCTCCATGATTTAGAAATGTGCTTCTTCAACTTAGCTTCCAATGAACGATGGAGCGAGAACATTCCAAAAGAATGGTCTTTCTTTGGATTAGAAATTAACCAGAAAAAACACTCAAAGCGGATCTTGAAGATTTCAAAAATAACAACAAAAGTACATGTACCAGAGATTACTACTAAGGAACATGATGATTCAGATGGAGCTGAAAAGGGAACAGGAGATATGCTGCGGTATTATCATGATGCCGGAAAAGCTTTATATTTTAATGAAAATGGTCTGGAGGAAGAGGTAATTATAGACGTCCAGTGGTTCATTGACGCCTTCAAACATATTATCACAGACAAGCTTCATTTCAAAGGTATTCCTGTCACCCAGAGGGACTGGGATGAATATTACGAAACTGGAAATTTGCGAGATCGGCTTCTGATAGAGATTTGGAAACATAAAGATGATGAGTTGTTTAAAAGGCTTAAGAAAGAAGACGAAGATTATAACATTAAAGATGGATCATATAAGAAAGATAAACGATATCTGCAATGTCATAAAATGTCGATTGTTTATTCTATGCAACGACTCGGTTTGTTGGCCGTTGGTTCAGAATCTCACTACGTTCCGTGCATGAATCGTAAAGAAATAGAAAAAGAACTTTTAGATATCATCAAGAAATCTGAGAGAAAATCATCTGTTCTTGTTTACCAATTTGAATTTCTACCATTTTTCTTGTTTTACCGTCTTGTTATTGCTTGTATGCAAGAAGATAGTTGGAATGTACTACAAAATCATGGAACATCTTGCCTTTACAAAAACGCCGCTTTGTTTTTGTGTAAGGAAACCAACTTCCTTTTGTCCGTCACAGAAGAGTCAATACAGCTTCAAGTATTCTGTCTGATGCCTGAATGTGATTTGGAAAAGGCAAAAACGTGCAAAATTCAAGAAAGAATTGAAGACCTGTTAAAAAATTTAGCAGGAACATTTCATAGAAAAGTACAGTACGTAAGAGGTTTCAGATGTCGAATAGACAAAGAAAAATTGATTGCTTTCGATATCAAAGGACATTTCTTACCAGAAAAAAATTACATTCCAAAAGAAGACTGTAAAATGATGTGCCCGTTGCATACAATTTCAGATCCGCATGTCATTGATACGGCTGAGTTTACTAGATATTGGAAATTGCAATGAGAAACCATACCATAAAATTTAATCTAATAATTTGATTTTAAATTGTTTTAAAGCTCATAAATGTAAAGGTTATCCGATCCTCAGGTTCTGAAAATCAGGCATTTAGTAATTGAAAATGCTCACAAAGATGTCTCTAAATCCTCAAAGTAAAATGTATTTACCCACGGTGTTTCTTTAAACTTCATCTTTAAAGTTAATCATATTATATAGGGAAAATTAGTAAATCTCAAAATAAATTTTCAGGAAATGCGATTAGAACTACCTACTGCATATTTACCAATTGATAATTGATCAAGAAATACATTTTGGGAATAAAAATCATAGGTATCCAGGCTTTTAAAGAAAATTGCATGATTTTCATACTTATTCGGTACTTTACTTTCTCCTACTTACTTCCATCGTTTCATAATGCATAGAGTATGAAGTGTTTCCTTTCAAAGAAAACACTGTAAATCACTTCTAATTCAAATCATGCTTATAAACATTGGTAACTAAGGCTAAATTAACAGAACTTTGATTTTTTTTAAATATGCAAGTTTTACTTGTTTTATAAGGTACAAATGTCAACTTTTAAAATACTGTCTGTTAAAACTTTAAAGAACATTGAATCATACCTAGAGGCATAAAATGAAAATTGTTGCATGAAAAAAATTCAATTTCAAGCTTTATTTTAAGACTTTTTGATTTAAATTATAAATTAAAGAGTTATCCTTCCTGGCTGAGGATCGGATATCCTTAAGTCACTTGTACTAACAGCTCATTTCAGCTATTGTACTCGTACTTTTATTGTCCCTTAATGTAATTTACAAGATACGATTATGAGACATTCTTCCTAATCTCTTTGTTCCTAGTTTTTTCTGCTTATCATGTAAGCTTTTCAAAATTCTCGACTTTTTCAGAACTATCAGAGCAAATTCTAAAGTAAATTTCAATGAAATGAGACCATATCTATGATTGGAGTATGTAATGATTTTTATTCCTGATGACACCCTTCTTAATTACGGCTAGACTTCAAAATGTTGAAACTGGTGTAGGGTTTTATAACCAGGTATTTATTTAAACGTTACTTTGTAAAACATGGTGCCAGGGGAAAGTGTCATGAATATTAGGAGAAGGTAATTATTTGAATAGTAGTAGTGAATATAATATCGTTTTATCTATCAGTGAATATTACACATAACTTCAAGTATTTCATCTGATGACAGGATGCTCTTTGGAAAAAAGAAAAAGTATGGCTTATTGCACAATAAAAAAAATAAAGGAAATATTTGACAAAATGTCAGAATAGTTTTACAGAAAAAAAAACCAGTTTGTTTTGTTAAAGTCATTAGACGTCGAACAGACGACAAAGAAGCGATTGCAAAATATGGATAGCGAGAAATATATTTCACCGGAATCAAAGATTCCGAAAGAGGATCGTGAAATAATGTGTCCTTTACATTCCGACACTGATCGGCATACCACCGATATCACTTAAGGAAACGAATCCTGCAGACAGCAGATAAAATGAAAATTACATTTTACAAGTAAATTCTCACTCTTTAATACGTAATATCGCGACTACCAATGAGTACCTCGCAGTTATCTAACTTACTACCGCTCTTTTGCGGGGAAGTCAAGAAAAGTCTACATTTCTGGGGGCAAATGACATTGTTTACAGTAGTGACAATCGAATGATTCGAACAATTTAATGCCGAAATCACTATGTTTTGCCAGATATTGAACTTTAAATAGTAGATCGTCAAATAAGGAAAGTTTAGAATATTTTATCTGCTTAAAAATGTGACGATTTTCAATGAAAATTTAACGAGAAGAGTACGCTTAATTAAAAATATCGTTAAAAATGTGACAATTTAGAATTGGCTCCTCTCAAAAATATATCAGGCTGGTTCAGCGATTGTTTAGCGAGGTATTCTACCAGGATTTTTTTACTTATCTGTCCTTATAAATGCGACAATGATCGATCTTGCATTGTATTGAATAGCACATTGCCCCCACCCAAAAGACGATTCCTACCTCCTTCGCGAAAGAGTTCCGCTAAGTTAAGTAATCGCGATATCAAGTATTGGTTTGAAATTATTTGAGGTGTTTTACACATGAATTATTCGATATTCTCTTACTGCAGTAAGGTATCAAAACATCTTGACAAGTTGCTCTTTTATTATCATTTTTAAAAGACACTAGGTAGCACTTATAAAGACCTGTTCACGATGTGTATTTATGTATCAACGTAATGACACATTTTTAAAATATTTTGATTTATTTTCAAAGCAAGCCAACGAGTGGCAGTAATTTCCAATGTTAGTTCAATGACTTCTAAATTATTTGTCTAAAACATCTCCCATTGATTTATAGCTATGATTTTATACTAATAACTCAAATTAAAAAGAACTTTTCACTATTAATATTTTCATTCCATCTCTCCTGTAAGCGTTCAATATAGTACAAATCGAACTATCCTAGCAAATGTAATGGTTTGTTATACAGGTATAATCAAAGCTTATAGTGTACTTACTTACTCACTTATTATACTCACCGTACCCGGAGGACGCACGGGTCGTTCAACAAAGAAGCCACTTATGGCGGTCACTTATGGCGGTCACGCGGAACAACTTGGCCCTCTCCGACCGTTACAATCCAGTTTTTCTCTTTCCCTTTCAACGGAGCGTCATCAGCTGTTATTATATTTGCTCTCTTTCCCTCGGGGGCTGTTTTGACGTGTGTTATTTCCATTTGGAAGACGTAGCCTATCTATTTTCATCTCTTTCCTTTAATGGTCCTTGATAGAGGTATGGATCTTGTTCTTTCATACGGTTGTTGGTTAGTTATCTTTTCAGGCCAGTGTATTTTTAGGATCCTACTTAAGCATTTTTGATGGAATATATTAAGCTTTCATTGTATTTTTTCTGTTTTCTCCATAGTTTAGCACAATTCAGCAACACTGATAAAACAATTCTGCTTAAAATTTAAATTTGGTCTTTGTACTGTATCGTGCTGTCTTCCATACTTTTGAATGCAAGGGTAATAAGAAAACCTACAAAATATTCTACCATGATTAAATCAGTGATACATAATGACGCCATAGTAGGCGAAATTACATCCAATTTTAGAACACAATTTTATGTAATATTGACATTTTGAGATGTAATTAAACTCTAGAAAATAAATAGAAACGTGTGAACATTAACAAAAATAAAATGTTTTTATTTATTTTGTCATGCTGCATCTGTCATTTTGATTAAAGTCTACCATTGATGACGCCATATATGTACATCAAGTTACTTGGAAATTGATCAGTTGGCATTGAATTACATGAAAACTGTATAAAATGTATAGAGATGTTTTTTTTAATATAAAACTTGACGTTAAGTGTTGACGTTACATTGCCGTAAAGTGTTCTCGAGGGTAAAAAACATCATGTTGATTTTGATATGAAGTAAATTGATTTATGTTAAATCTTATGGAATGAAACTTCACCCATCAACAAAATAAGTATTTTTATATACCATGTTGTGCTCATTTTAAATTTCGAGTGAGAAATAAAAGGAAACTTGACGTCGTTCACAAACTTTTCGAATGACCCTCATAAATTTCTTTATTCTATTAAATATGCTCATGAACTTGTACATTATATTTAAATGTTGTTGATACAATCATGTATTCGTGTATTCATGAACTGAGTAAACATGCTTGTTTTTTATGTTTCTTCAAAATTATTGTTAATTTGTTTTGTAATTCGAATAAGTTGTTTTAGAAACAAACTCAAACTCTGAAAATACATGCTTCTGTTTAAAATCAATTCTGAGGAAGGCGTGAACTACTCTTTTTCGGGCAAAGGTGACTCACATAAATTTCATTAGAATTCTTAAAAGAGATGGAAAAAACTGAATTTTTAAAGTTATATCAAAAATTCAAGTGGTTTTGATATATGAATGTACAGGAAGAGCATATTGCATGAACTTCGCTGATAAAAAAAAAAACTTCACCAGAAAGTACATTTTTCTAAAAAAAAAATTATTTGAATATCACACAAGCTTATTCACGTAAAAATTCAAATGAAAAAAATAGATAGTTTTTACACAGAATGTACAAAGTCCACTTCATTTTTAAGTACAATTACATCAGCAAATACAATTTATCATTGAGTAAAATGCTGACTGGGGTTTTTCATGCTAATAAAGTCATTATTTATACACTGAATTGACAACGGTGGGTGCGACCGGTTGGCACTGGGTACTCACTTCTCCATGGCACTTTATCTTACTTCTGATATTTGGGGGTCTGCGTTGCTCCACTCTTATTTCGTATTGATCTATATACTTTTGATTTTGAATTTTGTACGTTTGTTATCTACATATGTTGCAAGTCAAACGATAAGGACGTGAATATCATGTAGGCCACTTTTCCTTGTGTAAAATACTTTTATTTGTTTATATTGTAAAAGTGAACCGATAAACTATTCTTGTACATTCCGTAAGGGCAAAAAATCACGTTCTAACCAAGTTATTTACATTATATATTCTTGTTGCATGAATTCTGCTATGATCAATTGCATTACGTTTGTTTTTGGAAGTGAATTATCTCTTAATGACATAAATATCTTGATTAAAAGATTAATTATACAACAAATAATAATAGTATTTTAGACTCTGTAGTATTTAAACAGCTTAAGAATTGAAAAATGTAGTTCAAGCATCACTCATGATTGAATTTAACTTAAATCAAAACTCATTTGTAGAAAAATGTTTTGTATTAATTTAAAATAATAATAGAAAACATTCTGGATTTTTAATTTTTGTGGCAACAAGATTGATTCCAGCGGGTAATAATTTAACGACTCTTTTGTGCATGCATGTAAGTTTACTTAGCAATACGATTACATGTATTCTAAGAAAAAAAATGAATAGATATGCAACTGTTGAAACTTGTAAATAATATTCTTGAGGTAAGTAGGTTTCGGTGGAGATCAATCACTGTTCGTTTTCTTTATCCAATACCTT